ATCATTGATCTGAAATCAATAAGACATTTATTCTATAGCTAATATTTCTGCAAAATAAGTAACCTATACTTGCTGTCAGAACATAAAACGAATATAACCAAAATTTCATATGGATTGGAGAAAGATTTCAGGAGTTATAAGGAATTTACGCACACAAACACAGACAACAGTTTTTATATTAGTAAATTTTTAATGTTCTCTCTAATATGAAAATTAATTATTAATAACTTTTAATATTAATGAAACAGATTTTAGATTATTATAATAATGCAACTAGTTTTATTAATTAATAAAACATATTTATGTTAATATCTATAAATACTTTTTCTTTAACAAATACATGTTTCATCCAGATATGTCATGGCTTATTACAACTATAAATAAGTTGCTTTTTGTAGCAAGTGAAAATGTTCCAGTTGAAATAGTATATAAACTGATGGAAAAAATAAAAAATAGTTAGTGAATATTTATAATTTTTATTAAAATATTTTTATCATTTATAAATAATAATTTGGTGTAATAAAATTTTTTACTTAAAACATTAATTGAAAAAATCAGTTTCAAACATCTAAAATACTTTGATTCACTAACACAAGATGTGTTTCTATTTCAAGACTTGGTGGTATTTCATCTTTATTTAGTTGATACAGTTACGAGTACAATAACACGTTTCTAAAATACTGTAAAACCTGTGTAAACTGGAATCTCAGTTTCAAATTATTTTTTCTGTTTTGGCAGATTTCCATTTTGATCAGGTTTTAGTTTTTTTCATCTTTAAAGTACACAAGATAAATGTTAAGCAATTAATTTTGTATTTTATAGTAAAATCACTTTTATACACAGAAAATGTTATTAGGTTTAATACCAAAAGACTTACTAAGACATCTTGTGAACAAGCAGCCCAAGTTTATTACTTTCAAATATTTTCAGTCATGTTAAATGACCTTTCTCAAGAAAAAGAAATAAGAGAAAGCAAAATAAAAAATGGTAAAAATCGAACGCTTAGTACAAATGCAAAAAATGAACAGGCTTTTCGAATATTTTTGAATTAGCCTATAATCCGTTATAAGCTAATTCAAAATATAATCCACAACTTATGACGTCATCTTTACCATGCTGCTGATACTTTTGTCGATTCTCAAAAGTTGATTGCGAGGCCTTTATGGTTTGCTTTACAAATCTGCCAGGCTTCTGTGTAGTGCCGGTGCTTACGGTCTCGAACTACTTGCCAGTAGTCTTGCTTAGTCCCATTCGGCTTTGACGTCTTGTGTGTCTGCTAAAACGTAGGTGGCCAGCGCAGTGCACGGTTGTTCCTTTCTTATATTTCCTTGGTGTTCTGCTAACCTGTCCTTGATACATCTTCCTGTAGCTCCTATATACATTAATTTATTATGTCACCATGAGTCCGTAACGGGAATTTTATAGACACCGGAGAGTGTGTTTCTGTCTACTTCATCCTTATTGGATCTTAATAGTTGGTATGTGGTGGGGTTCTTTTATATAGGATTCTTTTGTTCTTGGCTTTTCCGATGCGTAGAAAGATATTACTCAGCGATGCGTTATAATCCATTGTTATAAATCCTTCATTATTGAATAAACTTCTCTTCTTACAGCATGTTTTGCTCTTGCTGGTAATAGCATTAACATTGATTCCGTACTTCCTGGCTAAGTTACATATATAATTCAGTTCATCCATTCTATCTTTTGTATTGTTACAATGCGAATAAACTCTTGCGATAAGCATTCGGAACACTGCCAGTTTATATACTGGAGGATTGTGAGAGATCCAAGGAATAAATATGGGGTTATATGTGGGCTTTCTGTAGACTTTAGTAGCAAACTCTCCTATGCTGTTAATTTGTATATAAAGATCTAAGAAATGTATGGTCTTATCATTTTCTTGTTCTAGCTCTATCTCTAGACTGAATCTATTGTCATTTATATCCTTTATAAAACTCTGTATGCTGGGTTTAGTGTTCCAGAATATAAGTTTATTGTCTACGTATCGAGCATACATCATCATTTGCGCTTCACACTTCGGCAGCACTGCGTTTTCTAGCATTCCTAGTATCGTTTCACTAAGCATACCTGCAAGGGGGCTGCTCATAGCTACCCCTATTTGTTGCGTGTAGGTAACACCTTTGAAGCTAAATACAGCAGAAAAAGTGGTAAGGTGTGCCAATTCTAAGATGTATTTTCTTTTCTTTCCTGGAGAAGGGATCTTGCTAAGTAAGATATCCCTTAGTTGACAAAAACATGGTTCCAGTTTAACGGATGGATATTAACGGATTCCATCAGTCAATATCCATCAGTTTAACGGATGGATATTGTTTTATTACCCTGTTTATTGTCCATTTACAGTTTTCTAAAACTAAATCAGTTTTTCTCTTTGATGGTATAATAAATTTAAAAATACCAAGAATAAAGTGAAAATTATAGTTTTAGGAAAAAACAAAAAATAACATTGATACCACCAAGATTAAAAACACCAACATCTTGTTTGTGAAATTGGTGCACTCCAACCAAGCCACCAGCCTCCCTACAAATGATGGGAACTCTAAGGGTTTTAAGTGATTTGCAATTTTCAACCTCAATTTTCTCATTTCATTTTGAGTATTACATCTTACTGCTTGGCACATGTCAGTCATTGGGAATGCACTATAACCTAACAGAGTTTGATCAAAATTGGTGACCCCAATGCAGTGCCATAACTAGGCAGGTGCAACAGGTGCACCCACACAGGGCCCACTTGAAAGAGGGGCCCAAAATGCATGTATTTGTTTTATTACTTTCCCAAACCTAATTAATTAAGGGGCCTAAATACAAATTTCTGCACAGGGCACAGGAATGGCTAGTTACGGCACTGCCCCAATGTCATGCCATCCCCTTGTAAGTTATTCTCTGATCTGACTTCTCAAGGAATTTTAATATATATTCTAAATGATCATTAGCTTTAATCACTGTGATTATCAAAATGCTAATCAATTTATTTTTTGAATACTCAGTACTAGTTAGTTACTAATTACTATATACTGTACAAGGCAAATTGGCAGTTCTTGTCATTTTCACAAATTACGTTCATTGCTTGTTTTTGAGAATTTATTTCTCAGAAACAAGCAGAATCAGGGGCAGAATTAAATATTTGATGTGACCCCTATTAATTTTAACAAAGCCTAATACTAACAAAGATTTTATGTCTATTTTTCCTTGTCATGTGACAAGGAAAAATGCAGACATAAAATGCAGTGTTCCTTTCTTTGACAAGACTCAAAATCATTCTCAGAATAGTTTTTTATGCTTAGTGTTGCCAACTTTTCAAAATCGCTGACCCAGACAGCAGGTCAGGTTTGTTCAAACAGAAGTTCCTGATGCATGTGCAATGTCATTTTACAATTCAAAGAATAATGTGCATGCCAGTTTTAAATCAGTTACAGTTAGGGACTAGGGACTTAAGTAACCTAAATTAGAAGTAACATAAGTAACCTAAATTAAGAAAGAACAGGTACAGATAACTTAGCTCGTAGACATGTACAATTGTACGCGAAAAAAAAAGAAGAAAAAAGGTCGAAGGTCGACAGGTTGCATGCCACTCGTCAACGTAAACAGATTAACATGGCAGAATTGCAGAAGATGAGTTTCAGGTTTCAGTGAGTGTGAGTTCTTTCGCTGTTAAAATAGTGTAAATTTGTAAAAATATTTGCAAGAACTTTGTTTCATTGTAATTTCAAAATTTCTACGAAATTCCAGGACAAAATTAATAGTTCACCCAGACAGTCCAGAAATTGACTCGCTGTCTGAGTGAAAACCAGACGGGTGGTAACACTAGTTAAGCTATACAATAACTGCTGTATATAATAGTGATTTACTTATTTGTCTATGAATGAAATCTTAATTTTCCACTTTAACCAGGTTATATTATGTTCTTACCCAAAAACCTCTTTCATTTCTGCATTGGAAAGGTTTCCAGCTTACAGTAAGATTTAACATAGTGAACCTTTGTTCTGAAGAATTTCTCCCCATTATTAGGTTACCATGTTTTTATTAGGTTCTGTTTTAAANAAAAGAAAAACTTTTATTTCTCAGTTTAAGCTGTATATAAGTAAGCTATTTTAACTGAAGTGAAGCATGTATTTTCAAAAATATACATAAAAGTCATGGCACTAGAAAGAAGCCATTAAAAGCATTTTTTCAAATATCTTTAAATCCAAATTATTTGGTATTTGTGATGTTTTCAACCATTGCTAGACAGCTGCAATTATTGACAAAAGAAAAAGCTGGTTTAAATTGTTTGAAGGGAGAGAGTTAAATTCATTTACTTTTTTGAACACAGATTGGTTTGGATTAAGTTGGTTTGTTTACATCCTCCATTATTCAGTACAAATACTATATTTGTTTGAGAAACTATCTATTAGTTACCTTTAAAAAAATCTTAATTACTGAAATTACATGTGAATTATTTTATTGATTTTTTTATAATTAACTTGATAATGACTTTTAATCAATGTTTATTATTTAATTTAAAAATGTATTTACTTATAAAATTTTGAAAAGTTAGAAAGAAAATAAATAAATTTAAAAAAAATGTATATAGTGATTTTCTACTCCTGGTTTTAAGAATTTATAACTGATGCTATATAAATAAATAAAATTAAGATTAATTTCTACTATAATTAGTTTAAAAACATATGAAATAAATTATTATGAACACTTACATAATTTTAGTTGTTTTTAAGTTTGATTTCAGGATATTGTTAATATAATGAAAATATTTATCATTTAAATTTCTCTTTACTTACATGAATATTTCATTAATGGAGTACTCAGATAAGTAAAGAAAATAATTTTCTTTTGTTAGATTTTTTCAAATTTTTTATGGATTAAATATTTTTAGAAAGTTAAAACAAAGTTAAGAGTATTTTACTTTTTTATCTGAATTTTCTTTTATAAAATGAGTGGTTTGGTTTTTAGAAAACTTAATATAGATGATTAATTTATTTAAGATTTTCGGAGAAATGTGGTGCTATTGTGAAACAAAATCCTCCAACAAGACACAAGAAAATTTATGTAAATTATTATCAAAAAATCTCATATATTCAGAAGAAATACAATTATGGATATTATCAGCAATGATTAAAGTGATTTTAAATTCTGGTTCTGTGTCTGAACAGATGAAATCTTTCATACAAAGGTATCAAGAGAATAAATATCAACTTATTCAACAGGTAAATATTTCATTAATAATTCAATTATTATTATTATTTAAAGCTGTTTAGTTTTACAATTTATAGAATTGTTGGAAGAATATAAAATAATGGGAATTGATAAATAGTGATTTATTTTATTTATTTATTTACAGTAGATCCCCCTATAAGACGGTACATACATTCCGTTCTTTATGAATCAATTTTGTAGGAATCATAGTTTACGGACTACGGCTGTTTGAAAGGTTTTCTTTCATAAAATTAATCGATTCTAGAGTAATTCGACTCAACATTTCCAAAATACGTATATTTTTTTGAAAATAATCCGTATAAACTACGTTATAAACAAAAAATTGTAGGATTGCTTACCGAGTGTTACCGTTCGACTACGCCCGTTGCTAAAGCTTGGTTTCGACGCGGAACAGCACATCAAACCGCAGCCGCGATTTCTGATATTATTTTTCTGCGAAAACTTCGTTGACCTTTGGAGACATCCTTAATATAAATAATTTTTATGGCCGTTAAATAAGAAATGTTTCTTTCACAAGAAATGTATAAAATTACAGTACTGGACAGACGATAGGTCGCCTAACTCGCCGTAGCGTGACGCTAGACGGCGAAAAATATATATTTAATTATAATAAAGTTACAATAAATTAAGTTAATATATAATTATATATACAGTACCTAATTTATATATAATTAATATATAATTATATGTACAGTACCTAATTTATATATAATTTATATAATACTGTCCAGACGATAGAAATCTCTCCGTAGCGTGGCGCTACGGACGGCGGGTAAGTAGTTCGGCTGCCCGATGACGTTTTACGTATTATAGGAGTTATTTTTACCGTTGTTTACGGATAATGCCACAATTTTTATAGGAATCATAACTATAGGAAACGGTTTTATAGGGGGATCTACTGTATTTATATCAATCAAGAAAAGACTCTTTTACATAACAGTGGTCAATTTTAATTAAATTTCTTTCTAAAGAAGCAAATTTTTTATCTAAAAATATGTATAGCTGAGTAAAATAAAAAGTTTATCATATTTTATATATTAATTATATAAAGGGGAAGCTGAAGTTTGCAACTTTTTTCCTAGAAGAAAAGACAAACTTTGTAAAGTTTTTTAATGACTCCTGCAGAAAGAACTGGAAAGAACATCTTAGATTAGTTTGTGAATCAGACCTACACCGCTAGCCATTAAAATTGCAACATCAAGAAGGAAAGCAAATAAAAAAAAGAAATTTATTGTACATAAACAGTATGGCACGAAGACAAAATGATTAAATTTGCAAGCAGTTTGGGGGTTTACAGGGGTGCGAAATTAGTAGACACAGTTGCCACCCCTGGCGGCTAAAACAGTCCTTATCTGGTTAGGCATGGAGTCGAGCTGGGTTTGAATGACAGAAACGGGCAACTCATTCCATGCTGCTTCAAGTCTATGCCACACTTCATCAACCGTATTAGCTGGAGAGGGGTGGCAGGCCAGTCTCTCAGCAACCCATGACCAGATGTTTTCAATTGGTGAGAGATCTGGAGACTGTGCAGGCCAGGGCAACAATTGAATACCCTCTGTATCGAGGAAAGTCAGAACACGACGTGCAACATGAGGTCTTGCATTATCTTGTTGGAAGATGGCATTTTGCAGGCCTTGAAGATAGGACACAACCACTGGACGTAAGATGTCAGAATTGTACCGATCTGCATTCAAATTACCGTTGATCCGAACTAGAAATGTGTGTGTCGTGTACCCATATCATCACACCAGGTGCAGGGCCCCTATGCCGATATCGAATGCAGGCAGGCAACAAGCGGTCTCCTTAGAGCCTCCAGACACGTATACGGCCATCAGAATGCTGCACGCAGAACCGGGACTTGTCTGAAAAGACGACATTGTGCCACTTCTGTATCCAGCTTTGTCAGTGGGTGCATCAGAGTTGCTGTCTCTCTCTATGCTGCATTGTCAAGGGAAGTCAAAGTAATGGTTGCCGTGCTGACAGTCCACGCTGCTGCAAACATCGTCACACCATACGAGTGGATACTGAACATGCTGCAAACAAGCTCATTTCCTGACTAATTGTCCATGATGTGGTTGTACGGTTTTGCACGGCTGACCTCACAATATGTCTGTCCTCTTGGGCGTTAGTCATGGGAGGTCATTGAGATCCTGCATGCTGTTCAGTAAGACCCTCAGCAACCTATCAATTCCATATTCGCATGACAGTGGTTGGATTTCAACTAGTGCGAGTGGCAATATCACGGAATAATAATCCACAGTCTCGATAGGCAACGATCCTGCCTCTATCAAATTCCGACACTTGCTGGTAAGCATTTCTTCTTATTCGAGGCATAACACTATATTCTTATGAAACCCCGACCTTACAAAGTGATTTCTGAATGAGAATTCCACTGCATGACTTTTCTTCTATGCAGTATTTCAGATGTTGTTTGTCCCTCCTGCATCGTCTAAATGCACTGAAATACTAATCATTTGCATATCCCAATCTCTTCTTCCTTTCATATGATTTTGATGTTCGTACGATCATTCCTTCCTGGTGATGCAATTTTAATGGCCAGCAGTGTATATAGCACCAGTGATCTGATTAGAAGCAAATTTCTTTAAGTGTTTCTTTAGTGGTGGGAAGAGAGGGATAATCTGAGGAGGCAGGGCCCAGCAAAGGATAGTCTATCAGTTCAAACCCCAAATCTTTTGTTTTCTGCATAATTTAATACTGTGGATAGAGTGAGCAAGTGCATTCATTGCCATTCAGAAAGAGTATCTTATGACTTAGCTTTATGTTGATGATCTGGTTCTTTTGACAAGGATTTTATCAAGATGACATTGATCTTATCTCAGAATATGGAAACCATGATTATTCCACACAATTTCTTATTCATTGAATGCAAAACTTCTTTGGCCTGGGAGGCTGACTATGATGCCATTCTGTGGATAGTTCCTTCTTGGATTTGTAGTTATACCAAGTGTATAAGCTTAAATCCACTGTTTGCTAGTAGATGATGTAAGCGAGCGTATTAAGTTACCATGATGACACCATATTGTTTTTTTGATGATTTTGATGTCTGTCAACATTAATCAGTGCACATCATCAGATATTTCATACAACAACATATATTTTTTTTTGTAATCATGTCTACTTTTGTGCCAGAAAAAGAGCATATGCGGCAAGCTTTGCTTTTCTGCTTTAATTTGAAGAAAACGGCTGCTGAAGCACATCGAATGCTTGTGGAGGCTTATGGAGACAGAGCTTTATCGGAAACCACGTGCAGAGATTGGTTTTGTCAGTTCAAAGATGGAAATTTTTACCTGAGCAACAAGAAGCGTGAAAATCAGCCCAGGAAGGTTGAGGACCATCTACTGCAGGCTCTTTTGGATGAGGACGATACCCAATCACAAAAAATGCTTGCCGAGCAATTGGGTGTTACTCAACCGGCCATTGGGTGTTACTCAACGGTGTTACTCAACCGTGCCAATCAAAATGGGTGCCGCATGAATTGAACGATAGGCAGATGGAGCGACGCCAAAACACATGCAAAATCTTGCTCTCCAGACAAAAAAGAAAGTCGTTTCTGCATTGGATTGTAACTGGCAATGAGAAATGGATATATTTTGAGAATCCTAAATGCAAGAAATCATGGGTTGATCCATGCAAACCATCAACATCTTTCCCAAGACCAAATCGCTTTGGACAGAAGACAATGCTGTGCGTTTGGTGGGATCAGCAGGGTATTGTCTACTATGAGCTGTTGAAACCTGGTGAAACTGTCAATGCTCACCGACTGATCAAATTGCACTGTGCTCTGCGTGAAAAAAGGCTGGATTATCAGCAAAGACACGACAAGCTGATTTTCCTCCACGACAATGCACCATCGCATGTGTCAACATTGGTCTGAAACTACTTGGAGACACTCAACTGGGATGTGCTACCCCATCCCGCTTATTTACCAGACTCTTGCCCCTTCCGACTATCACCTCTTTTCATTGATGGGCCACGCGCTTGCTGAGCGGCACTTCGATTCTTACGAAGACGTCCGAAAATGGCTTGATGAGTGGTTTGCCTCGAAAGAGAAGAAATTTTTTTGGCATGGTATCCACACATTGCCTGAGAGATGGAACAAATGTGTCACTAGTGAGGGAAAGTACTTTGAATAAATTTGTTTTTGCTTTCTAAGAAAAAAAACGTGTGTTTTTCTGACTAAAAAAACAGCGGATTTAAGCTTATACGCCTATGTAGAACCATATGGTTGATGATCATGGATCCACCATGGTCATCAGGCTGACCACAAAGTATTCAGCACCAGCACAGAATCATGCCAAAATGTCCTAGGAGGTGATTATATGATTCTGCTTTTAGTCTGCATTTAGAAATTTCAAGATCCATTAATTCAGTTTATCAAATTTGCCTTTTCAGGGAAAAATCTTGAACTTTTAGAATTCTTTTGTAAGCAAAATTAATGAATCAATGAATTCATTAATTTTGAATGGCTTAAACATATGCAAATAGAATTATTTTATATTGTAAATATTGTATAAAATGAGGTATTGTTACTCTTTTAATATAAGATGGCTTCATTAGTAAAAGATTCCCCCATCTCTGAGTTGGATACAAGTTTTTTTAATACATGGATAATAAACTTATTTTTATTTGAATGACTTATAAAATTTCTTGAGAAATACTACAAGAATTCTGTTTTTTAGAATTTTATATTTTATAAAGAATACTGTCTAAAACAAAGTGATAATCCATTAAAACCATTAATTTTAATTTACAGGATATAATTTTGATTTTCAATGTAATAGTTTATAATTAAAAAAAATTCTATTATCTCTCTACAAGTTCCATAAAATTACACAAAATCATTTTACTTACCATGGGAAGAATTTTGACTCAAACCTTTTTTAGATAAAATTTTAAACAGCTTGATACATTTGTATTATGTTTCTTGAAATTCTTGATTGTTATGTTACCAACCATAACAGCTTTAGCAAGAAATATTTCTACTATTTAGAAATTCCTGGCTAAAGCTAGGTTCACATTAGCATATGCACTGTTATGAAGTGGATACAAACTGCCAGTTTGTCTCTTTTCAGAAAATATATGACCAGTTTGTTAGGAGTTGAGAACATCTCAACTTTTCCAGACTTCAATTTGTTTGACCAATCAACTTTTCACTAGTGTTTCAAAGCTTTTTAACCATTCCATCCTAACTTAATTTGTGTCATGTACTACAATGTGGACAATATTTCATTTTTTTCATTTGTAGTGATTCATATGACAGCATAAACTGAGCTTAACTCAAATTTTCTCTTTATTCATATGATATAGAGAAAAGTTCAAAAATTGTCAGTTTTTTAAATATAAAATGTGTTTTTATATATTTGAAAATTATATTTTTTTATTTTAAGTTTCTCTTTTAAGTTAGATAACTATTATATGATTATTTAATTTGGAAGATATATCATTTAGTCAATTTGGAAGGCTAACTCAAATCTGGCAAGATTGATAGATTTGGTTTCTCAGTTTTAGCTGCACTAGAATTATTTAAACAATTATTAATGTTTTTCAATGGCCTAATAAGCAACATATAAACACTAGATTTTAGTTTTGCTTCAAGCAATTCTAAATTTTCTGAATTTAATCTAGCTTATTAATTCATTAAAAATATCAATTTATGGCTAGATATATGTTTTCAATACCTTATTATTATTATTATTAACTTACTTCAGTCATTAGTATTAGTAATCCAGTATAATTTGGCAAATTATTAATGTTTTTATAAACTTTTTTCTCATTTCAGAAAGTTAAAGAAATTTTGAGAATTATTGAAAACATTCAAAATATTTTGCCATTATGTGAACAAATAAGGAAAGAAAAAGTATATTAAAATTTGTATTTATATTATAATGTACTTATAGTAAAAATAATAGTTTTTAAAAATATATTTAATTTTATGCATTGTTTATGTTATATTTTGATTTGATTTATGCAATAAAAATTGAATATATCATATTTAAAAATCATTATTTCCTATTTTTTTACATTTAAAAAAGATTTTGTGTACATTTGCAGTGTAATTGTAATGGTGATACTATATTTTAATTTACCTCTGCTATGCAGTTATTTGCTTTGCACTTTCAAACCTTTCAGTTCATCTTCAGGCAATCTGTTCTCATAGGGGTCTGCAGCCTTTCACTGAGAAGGGTTAAGTGAGTTGTAAAAGACAAGACTGGGGGGTCATATACAAAAGTTATAGTCAAAGATTAAGATTTTTTATTTTTGGATAACAATGAATATAAATCCATATGATCCGTATGAAGTTTGCAACCTCTTTTTCAAAAGAATGTCATCAGAATTGAGAATAAATTATGGCATCCATTATTACAATTTCCTTTAGATATTTGTCAGATGGTGGTGTTTGATTGTTTAATTTTATATATTTTATTTTTGTAAATGTTGATTTGCAAAGATACAGTATATAGAAACAAAAATAAAAAATGTCTCCTGTGCAAACTTCAAATGCTTTTAAAATGCTTTTAACAGCAAACAAATGCTTTTAAAATTTTTTTTCTTGCTGAGATTTTTAAAAATTTAAGAAATTTCTTTCTTTAAAAAGGTTTTATAAAAAGTGTTTATGGCAAGATCTATTAATTCTAGTTGGCTTTTCAAAAGTTTGTACTTTGAACAGTAGTGTAATTAGAAATTTTAGTCTTTTGCTTACAATAGTTACAACACCAGCTTTGAACTAGTTTGAATGTCAAGGATAAAACATGTCATTGAAAACAGGCTATGTGGACTGAATAAATATACTTTGGGGCCATATGCAGTAGGTTGGAGATCCATGTCTTAAATTTTTTAATTCCCCCAATGCTTCTTCTATATATTTTAATGTTTCATTTGGCCCACCAATGGCCAAGCAGTCTTTGTATTTTGAACACTGGGTGTTTGGTTGTGGGTTTGCGGGCCTCACTTGGACAGGCTGGCCACATGGAGTTTTCCGGATTTTCTCCATGTCTGTAACACCTAAATAAGGGCCAATTTCCCTTAAAAAGACCTCCCAGAAGACATCCCCCTAGGCAGATTGCCCAAGTGTTGTGTTGCCATAACTTAACAAACAAACAATGTTTCATTTAAATAACTCTTTTAAGTTCAGAAAAAACTCTATAAAGCAGAAGCAAGTCAAAATTGTAAAATACCATATGACTTTGTTTTATGCAGGTGTTCATGTCAGTAGGTATCATGTAAAATGAAATTTTGTCAAATTTGTGCTCTATCCCAAGTAGTCCCAAGTGATATCATAAGCATTTATGCAACCATTTACAGTTAACAGAAAAACACTAAAATGGGTTTGAAATGTTTTATTTATATTTTCGCTATAATGAATACTATTTTAGTCTGATGTTTCTGTTGAGGTTCAAATCTTGTTGTCATCAGGTGGTGCTGTACACCCACTTTGTTTACACACATACACACACAAGAATGAGATCCCTTTGTTTAGACCCACTTTATTTCCCTTTTGGTTACACCAAGGACAACAGTAGACTAACTATGTAGTTTTATGTTTGTATCATGCCTTCTTTGTTTGTAGTTAATAAAACAATGGGTTATGGGCCCAGACTACACTCAAAAGCAAAGTAAACCACTTTCGGTCTTTTTAAATGAAAATTGTGTTGATCAGGACAGTCATTGAGAAGAAAGAAAAACATGACTTCCATAAGAGTAGATCCTCTGGATAGAGAAAATTTTGACACATGGAAGATTGAAATTGAAGCTTTATTAATAAAGAACAATCTTTGGGGCTATGTCAGTGGATCAAAACAAAGACCATCAGAAGAAAACAAGATTACAGTGTGGGAGACCGATGACTCAAAAGATAAGTCAGAATTAATTTTGTCAATAAGTCCTTCCAGTTAAAGCAAATTAAAGACTTAAAATATTGAAAGTGGTTTGGGAAAAATCCATGATATACTGTATATCAGTCAAAAGATCCTGCTCAAAAAGCAAATTTACTCAAACAACTAACATTGACTAAAATGAAAAGTAGCCAATTATTTGAATAGGTTCTTTGACCTTGTGGATAAACTATGTGATCTTGGCATGGACATTAACAACAGCCTGTTAACTGTTATATTGTTATACAATTTCAAAAATTTCTGGTGTGCAATCAAATTGTGAAACAATCTATTGAAACTGGAGTCAATACAGATTAAAATAATTAGAGAGAGTGACTCCAGATATGGAAAAAATCTACGGATTGTAGTAGTGCCCTGATTTTGAAAAACCATTACAATACCAGGAAATCTAGGAATAATCCCACCAACTCTAACGAAACTAAATTTCAACGAAAGTGTTTCAACTGCAAAAGATATGACCATAGAGCTTCTGAATGTGACTCAGATATGAGAGCAAATCAAATGAACTTAGTAGCATTCCATTCAGTTTTATCAAGTACTGAGAACAAAGGTATATCAGGAGGGCTGGTGCTTCACATATATGCTCCTCTTGTAATGGTTTTCACAATATAGAGTACATCCGCAATAGGAAATTGTGCCTAGCAGATAAATCAGAAACCAATGTAACAGCAACAGGTCAAGTTAATTTAAGAGTTAGCAATGACAAAAGTGACAGAACATTCACACTACCATATATTTACCAAAGTTTAGTACAAATTTGATGTCGGTAGCAAAGATTACTGACAAAAGCTTTAAAGTCATTTTCCTTAAGAATAAAGCCAAAGTGGTAGACAATGCAGGAAAGACCAATCAGATCCAGCTCATTAGGAGGAACAAACCACTTCATTACATATATCAATGATAAATCAAGGTGGACCAAAGTGTAAGATGGCCGATCCGGGGGAGAAAAGGGGCTTGAAACCCACTTCTCGGCACCTGTGTAAGGATGCCGTCTCTTAGGTGGGATCTATTAATCCCGCGTCAGGATGGACCTAAGGGAAGGTTGTATGTGGGCAGTGACGGAGGAGGCAAATGACGACAAGTGTTTTACACAAGAAAGCCGTTTATTTGTTAACATATATGCTTACATCGGCAATCGACAGTCCTTCACTAGTTTCTTCCCTCGAAGATGCGGAGTGTGAGAACTTCGGCGTCGGTCGTAGCCCCGGGGCGGACGAGATGCTGTTGCTGATCACGGCGGACGATCGGAAGATATAAGCGGCGGAGTCCACAGTTCCTTTGCGACGACACACCACAATAGAAGTCACTACCTTTCGTGGAGTCGGAGGAGAGCCCCCCTGACCTCGGATTTCGGATTTTTATAGTTTTTCTCTTCCACTATTCGGACTTCCGATTGGCCCTTCATCCCCTTTCTCGCTTCCCGATTGGTCTCTCTTTTGTTTTGGGATAAACTGAGACCGCCTCAGGTCACGAGAAAGGTCCGATTCCAGGTGTCTGCTCGACGCCGTTCTGTCGATTGTTGACAAAATTGCAAGACTCGCGCTCATAATTTAGCTCCGTTACTCGCGATTTCTGTCATCTGGGTACTCGAACGATCATATGCAATGATTTATCTCTCTTAAATCTTTCCGTCTTTTCAGAAATTGTTTCCCTAGATTGACTGTTTATGAGAGCGGGGGTCAAAGTTCTACCTGCATATGACCACTTGTCTCTGAATTATAACTTTTCATTCTGACATTGACAGTTCGTTTAACACGTGTTCGAGTAATCCGAGACTCGTTGTCTACATTTTGTGCCGCGTTGTTTAAATTATGGGATTTTCCTCTCCCTCTCATAATTAATCTATCGTTATTATTTAATCATAGGAATATCGCGATTTACATGATTCGGACCTCGGTTGGGTCTTCACAAAAGTGAGATTTCTAAAGGTGGAGAGTGAAGCTTTGAAAGTGTTCAAAAATCTTAGGAACGTGGTTTAGAATCAAACAGGTAGAAAAATATAGAAACTCCAATCCAACAATGGTAGTGAGTTTCCCTCCCGTGAATTCTCTAGCTTCCTTCAAAAAAAATGGAATCCAAAGGAAGTTGAGCATACTTCATATCCCCCAGCAAAATGGTGTTGCAGAAAGGATTAACTGTGCTCTTCTCAATATGGCAAGGTGCATGTTAATTGATTCAAAACTGCTAGAAAAATTTTGGGCAGAAGCTGTATCTACAGCATGTTATATAAGAAATAGTTGGCCTTCAAGTTCAATTAGTGGGGAAATTCTCTTTATGATATGGTCTGGAAAACGACTGACTGTTTCGTACTTTATATCTTTTGGATGTAGGGCATTGAATAAAATGCCAAACAAAAGCAAATTTGAGCTTAGATCAGAACCCTGTTTGCTAGTTGGTTATTCAATGGGAAATAAAGCTTATAGAGTCTAGCTTTCCAAAGAAAAGAAAGTGCATATCACTCACAAATTCATAAGTGAAGCCGAATTGAAAGGTTTTGGGAGTAATAAAGATACTGACCATGACAACAGACATAAGAACATTAGAATACATCCTATCTGATGATCAGCAAGGCCATCATAATAAATCAATGGATGAAGAACTTCCAACTGAAGAAATGAAGTCTGTAAAGGCTGACTGCCAGGAACAGGAAGCAGTAACATAGCAACATGCAACCAGAGGTAGAGGAAGACCAAAAATAATCAGATCAGGCAATAGAGGAACACAGCATAAAGAATATAATGTCATGTCTGACCATTTGGAGGAAGAGCAAGGTGAAACAGTTCCTTTGCGAGAGGACAATATCATGGGAAGTGCAAAAACTGTCTCTGTTGTGCTTTCAAGTGTAGAAGCCGAATATATGGCATTGATGGAAGGGTAAAAGGAAGCTATAGACCTCTGAAGGATCCTTCATGAAACAGGGAAGCCAGTGACCTCGATAACTCTAAATTATGATAGCCAGGGTGCTCAGTGTTTGGTGAAAAACCTTATATACCGTGCATAGACCAAATACATCAATGTAAGGCATCATTTTATTCATTTTACTCTCGAAAGAGGAGTGATCATCAAATACCTACCAATAAGTGAAATGTTGAAGGATATCTTTATGAACACTTTAACAGGGAAAAGCACTGTTTCTGTTGTCATGGAATTGGACTTTCCTGACAGGGAATGATGTTTTCAATTTGAGAAGAAGTGTTACATTTCAAATCTTGTTATCTCCAGGTGGTGTTGTACAGCTCTTTGTTTAAACCAGGGTTGTTCAACCTTTTTTCCTAATGGGCCAAATTAGAAATTTAGGTATATTCAGTGGGCCATAAAGGTACTTTATATAATTACAGTAGAGAATCAATTATCCGAATCAATTGGGGACTGGGGTTGTTCGGAAAATCAGTTTTTCAGATAACTGATTATGTACAAAAAAATATATATTAACCTGTCCCATGATGAAATTCATTCAAATCCTGATGCGTCCTTAAGTGCCCTATTTTTGTTGGTCTGCCTGGCATGCACTCCAACAAAAATAATATTGGAGTAGCCCAAGACATAGCCAAAGATTGTAACACCACAGCACTAGTGGAATTTTAAATTTGCCAACTGGAAAGCTTTCAGTTAATTGATGTTTCGGTTGATCAACATTCGGATAATCAATGCTCTACTGTATACTTTAAAATTTGATATTCACATTTTGAACTTTTTAAAGGTTCAAAATGTGAATATCAAATTTTAGTAATAAATATATATAATTACAAAACATAACTGTATTATTTACAATAAAAAACAAAATTATACTCATGCAAAATAAAAATAAACTCAATACAATTTTTGACATTGTCTTTCTTTTATATATTGTTAATATCTGCTTTTATGGTACTAGTCTTAATTCTAAGAATGTTAGTTAAATGGGAATCACTCAACCTATTTCTTTCGGCAGTTTTGATGTTTTTCATGGACAAAAAGAATTTTTTACAACAGTATGTACTAGTCTACATGCATAACAGTTTTCTAGATAAATTGACAATTTCACCAAATTCATTGAAAGAATGAACTTCTTTATAAAATTCAAGAAGGGAAGTTCTTTATGATAAGTTTTCAAAGATTCCTTGCTTTGAAGTTCAATGAGTTCTAGCTGGTATTCAACTGGTGCATCCACATAATTAAATAAAAATGGATCATTAAACAATTTTAACTCAATTTCTATTTTTCTGAAGTCAGAAAATCTGGTTATTACATCTTTAAATAAAACTAAAAAATATAGTAAATTATGTGAAAAGTCCATGGAAAATTCTTCTTTCCTTTTTAATAAATTCTGAAAATACAGAATTTTACACAGCAATTTTATCATGACAAATAAGGCAGATAATATTATTGCATTTTTTGATTATGAAATATTTTTATGGCCAAAAGATATTGAATTTTTTTGTTTTTTTCTGTTATTTTTTTCTTAGTATTAGATGCCATGTCCAAATGCTGGATTATTAAAAATATAAATTTAAACTTGATGAAATAATTACAAATATAATTGGAAGTTGAAAACATTTAAATTATTATGTTAGCAAAAGAAAGATATAGATAGTTTTATGCTTGTATTATATACCTGTAATTAGAAAGAATGTCAAAGTGAAGAGACTAATTTATTCTTTATTTCTATAAAGAAGAAATTAGCCCATTCCACTTTGACATTGGGCTTAGCCTTGAGTCACTAAAAATGGCTGACATTATTTTGAAAAGAGGGATTATGTGTCTTTTTCATTTGCCTGATGAAAAGGTACCATTCTTTATCACTAAAAACATCACTTCATTAGAAATATCATTGAAACTGAAACAATCAAAATGACAGACCATATCACCAACTTTTTTGATTGGTCAGTTACAAATTATGTCATTATGATATCAAAGTGTATCCAGTGAAATCAGAATAATTTTTATGACATACTTTACCAAAATAAATGAAAATGTACCTAAAAAATTTAAGGTGCAGTGGGGTGCAGGTTGGTCATTCCTGGTTTAGACCCACTCTCTTTTTCCCTTTGGAGTTCATTGATGATTGTGGTAGATCAACTTTGTAGTTTTATGTATGTCTCGTACCTTTGTTTGTAGTCTATATATCTTAAGTCAATAAAACAACAGTTTCTAATATACAAAACAAAACTTTATCACACTGTATCAAGTACACTACTTGAGAAAAATATGCGCAGATCAAGATATTCACCATGATAGCATTCAGTAGTTTTTTGTGTTTGGGATGTCAGAAGCTGAAGAAGTACTGTTTGATGATTCAGTGGCATAGGAATGGATTATCCTAACCATTTTCCATCAGTGAAAACACAAATCTTCATATATCAGTTTCACATAAAACAAAATCTTACTATAGTTGGAATAATATAGAATTAAAGTGTATGAAATTATTACTTTTTTGTATAAGAATTCTTTTTGTTTTACATTTTTTTCTTTAGTAATAATAAAATTGATTTAATCAATTAGAGATTATGTTCCTTGAAATTTACAAATATTATTTTTTGTTTAGATAGATCCAACGTTATCTTTTGTAGATAGCTTTGTTTGTGAAGCATTAGAATCAGGTGCAGCACCTTACAAGCCCGAAAGCATTCTTAATTCATTGCAGGCTCCAACAGAATCAGGTAATTTATTATAGNAGGAATGGATTATCCTAACCATTTTCCATCAGTGAAAACACAAATCTTCATATATCAGTTTCACATAAAACAAAATCTTACTATAGTTGGAATAATATAGAATTAAAGTGTATGAAATTATTACTTTTTTGTATAAGAATTCTTTTTGTTTTACATTTTTTTCTTTAGTAATAATAAAATTGATTTAATCAATTAGAGATTATGTTCCTTGAAATTTACAAATATTATTTTTTGTTTAGATAGATCCAACGTTATCTTTTGTAGATAGCTTTGTTTGTGAAGCATTAGAATCAGGTGCAGCACCTTACAAGCCCCAAAGCATTCTTAATTCATTGCAGGCTCCAACAGAATCAGGTAATTTATTATAGTACTCAAATAAAACCAATTATTTAGAAATAAAATTATCACATTTTATTTGTTTTATATTAAATAATTTTACTTGAATTTATATATCAATTACAAATAATTTACTTTATTTATATTAACACTTTCAGTGTGGCTACTGTGTGAGATATGGGAATGAGCTTCATAACAAAGTTTCCCCATAATTTTTTTTCATTGAAGTTATTACACTATTATTATTACATAATTTAATGTTTAGTTCTTTTAAAATATAAATACAAATAAGCAAAAACATCACAATTATTGTGATTTAATGTATATTTTTGTGGAGTGCTAATTTACATATTTACTGGAATGACATATAAATGAAACCAAAAACTAAAATTCTGTTGCACACATCAACAATCAACAGAATGAAAATAAACTATTACCCAAACAGAATTGAGTGTGGAATTATAAAAAAAGGCTAAAAACATTGATTTTTGTTTTGTTTACATTAAATTCAAATTAAATTATAAATGATCAAATTATAAATGATCAAATCTGTATCAACAAATTCTTACTTATTACATATCAAATTAAATGGGAGAAAACAATCTTTAACATATACAAATAATAAAAACCATAGAGTTATTCCTTTTCAAATGAGTGTGACTTTTAAAAACAGTCAACAATGGTTAGTCCAAAGAAACATGACACCTAAAACACATCAGTCCCAAAAGTGTTAATACTTTTTTGTACTCCCTTTGAAATTCATCAAAATTAGATTTATTTTTGATTTAGATTTGATATTTTTGTAAATAGTCGAAAACTTCAATTATGAAGAATTATATCCTGAGTTATTACAGAAATTGTATTAATATGCAAATAAGTAGGATAACTCAAAATTACCACCAAAGGGCCTGAAGCAGTTAAAGAATGGATAAGGACAGTATGGTGAGAAGAATTCTTCGAGTTTTTAATGTAAAGTTGTCAGAACCTACAACAGCAGGCTGACACTTGATCGTTTTTAATATTGTGACCTCTCTTTTTACTTGTTTACCTTTGTTTTTTAAGAAGTTATTCTTCAACAAAAAACCATGTTAACTGTTACTTCTGGTGTTGTATAAAAAGGGATTAAGATAGACTCGAAAATTTGATATTTTTGTAAATAGTCGAAAACTTCAATTATGTAGATTTATTATATTATTGTAAACATAGTAAAATATATTTATTAGGGGAATATTGTGAGTCATTAAAAAAATAAAAAAATATTAGTACAGTAGACCCCCTATAACACGTAGATACATTCCACGTTGTACAAATTTCACGTTGTAGGAATTCTTAAATACATGAGCCAATCACAGCCCAACACGTGTGAAGTTTACGGACTATGGCTGTTTGAAAGGTTTTCTTCCATAAAATTAATCGATTCTAGACTAATTCGACTCAACATTTCCAAAACACATATAATTTTTTGGGAATAATCCATATAAACTATGCTATAAACAAAAAATTGTAGGATTACTTACCGAGTGTGCACCGTTTGACGTTGCTATTGCTTAAGCTTGTTTTTGTCACGGAGCAGTGCACCAAACGGCGGCTGCAATTTCTGATAAGTTATTTTTCTGCAAAAAATTTGTTGACCTTTGGAGACATCATTAAAATAAATAATTTTTATGGCCATTGAATAAGAAATGTTTCTTTCACAAGAAATGTATAAAATTACAGTACTTTATTAGACTTACGGTACCTAATTTACATACTGTACAGACGATAGTAAACTCAACTTACTCGCCTAAACTCTCCGTAGCTTGTAAGTAGTTCGGTTGCTCGTCTACTATTAGTCCAGATTTGACCAATCCTGTCCTGACACAAGTCGGCGACGACGTTTTACGAGTCCCTTTTAGTGTCTTTATTTGAATACTGTTGCAATTTTTTTGCCACGTTATAGGAATCTCTGTTATAGGAACCCGCGTTATAGGGGGTATACTGTAGTAGGAAAATGCAACTTTAAATCATTTATTGGATTTACTTTTATTGATTCTGGTCAATTATTTCATAACATTGTATTTCAGTTATTGAATATATGCAACTGTGAAGTGTTTATTATTAATGTATCAAGACCATCTGAAGATGCAACTGTGAATGGCTAGATCAGATCTTTTTTCTTAGATTAAACACAGTTATTATAAAACATAAATTATTATAAATCATGCAAAATATTTTTAATACATTTTTTTTTAAGTTTTCTATTCCTCTTAATCACTATTTGTGGAACAATATTTATACTTTATGAAAATAGTGCTGAGTACCAACATTTATACATAAGTCTACTGTATACTGACAATACAGGATTTGTGCAGCAAATAATTTTCAGTTTTTAGATTAGTATCAAAAGGGGTTGGGCCAAGAAGAAGCAAAGTGAAGGAGGATGGGAAGGTTGAGCCTACTCATGAGAGGTAGAATGAACAGAGTAAAGAGGATTTGTATGGAAGGTTGGCCCCTCACAGAGTTGAATTGTCATGAAATTTCTGTTATGAATAGTTTATGTTGAGAACAAGTGAGCCAGGCCTATAGGGCGAGTGAACAAAGTGAACTACATAATCATGAAATTGGAATTTTTTTCTGTGGGACATTCAAAAAAATTGTGATGTTCAACTGATGTAAAAGCAATTTTTTTTTCTGTTCAATTTAAATGGAGAAGATTCGAAAGAAAAGTTTTTTGTGTGTTTTTGTGTGAATAAAAACTGATTTTTTTCCAATTAATTTGAGTGTGGAAGGACATTTTGAAAAGGACCCAAATTTAGTTTCTTAGGAAATTCTCACTTGGAATTAGAC